TCTTACAGCTATAACCATCTTCAAGTTCTCTCCGGGAACATCATGCTTCAAAGCTACCTTATCTCCTTGCTCTCTGTGAATGGAGCCATTTTTTGCTGAAACTTTTGGATGTTATCTTCAAAATAAAGCATATTTCTCTCTCTCTCTCTCTCATTACGTTGGTATGGCTATCTGACACGAGAAAATTGGATCTCCGGTGGAAGAAAAAAAATCTAGCTCGTTGCAACTGTCGAGAAACTGACATCTGAGAACTGTGTTACGTCACGGTACCTAACAAAGCGAACTTTTTTGACAGCGCGATCAAAAGTTGACAGGACGGCCTTGACAGGAAATGACAAGGAGCCACACTTCACCCCCAGCTCAGTCGAAACTTACTGAAACAGATTTTTGTCAAGCGTTATATCCCGCGAGACGATGAATTCCAATTCGAAGAGGCGGTATTTGCACTCCTCCGGCATACTGGGAGAACGCCTGGCCTCCATCAGACATGCGTAGACTCGATCGGGTTCGATTATGGCGGCATTGCACTGGCCAGCCAGGATGGGAGCACAGGCAGCTCGAATTACGGGGTCCACGCGGACGTCCTCTACGACTTCTCCAATCTTTTAAAATTTCAAAAATAAAATCATAGTGGAAGAGGGGAGGGAGGCGGCACATTGATAATAAAAAAGCTCATCAAAATAATGAAATACTAAGATCACGCTCAGCTTTTTAATTTCCTGAGAAATTAATTTCTGTTCGCGGTATATATCAGTATAGCGTGTTCATCGTCTCCCAAAGACGAGGCAGAAGAAGAGAGGGTGAGTTTGGGAAATCAAATTATATTTGAACTGACGTGTCGGAACCCTCCTGGCTTGCATCGTCAGAGTATTTTAGTTGCTGCGCCTGACAGTCTTGAGTTAGCCAGCCAGACCACCAGGCGTAGCAACCGCAATACTCTGACGATAGAAGCGAGAAAGGTCCCGAAACGTCTGTTCAAATATAATTTGGTTTACGAACCTGCCTCTGCCTCTTCTTTGGGAGACGATGAACGCAATAAAATATTTGATCTCCGAATCTTTAGGCATATGCATCAGTATATCTAAGGTCTATAGGCATAGACCTAAATTGTACGTGTATATTTGGGCTGAAACCCGTCAAACACTGCGAAATATGCAGCTGCGGTCAACGGACAGACTGTAGTAGCATTAAGAAGAGAAAGGCTTATTTGGGAAGGTTGAAGCTTCAATGCGTAAATTTTCGAGACAGGTTCTCCCGCTTGTCTTCAGACCTGAGAAAATGTGCAACAAACTATTAAAATTCAAAAAAGTCCAGAAAAATCAATATTGCGGATTATGTTAGTCTGCGCTAGTAGGCGTTACATGCACTTCGTCGTTGCGCAGTGGTTGGTCGTGCGCATCGAATTTTCGCCTTGAGATAATTATAGATGACGTACAAATCGATACGCCTGTTGATGCATGCCTCGTTTGAGGGCATTACTTCCAGGAATTCACGGCCTTTTCTAGTTGGATAAGTGCCAACAAACTGCGTGTCCTCCCGCGAGAATCTGTGGCCGGTTTCTAGTGTGTGTAGGATAAATGGTTTCGTCTTCTGACCGCTGATTTATGTTGGTGTATGCGGGTTGAGGCGCATTTCCCGGTTTGGCCACAAGAAACTGCATCATAACTAGCCCATGGGATGTTGTAGACAACACTTTTTCCTTCAAGATAGCCAACCCTGTCCTTAGGGTGTACAAGCTGTGATCGTAAGGTGGTTGCGGGGTGGTGTGCCACTTGTACCTGATGTTTTTTTAGTTGTCTTTCGGCAAGCTCAGACACATTGGTTACCTATGGGAGAGTAAGCCAGGTTAGTGGTTTCGATGCCTGATTGGCCAAATATACACTTACTATTTCGGTCTATGCCTATAGACTTTAAATATACTGATTTATACAGAAATAAAACCGGTATTTCAACCAGAAAGCAGATAGGGAAAGCTGGGAGACCCACTGATTAACTGGACCCCTCGCAGCTGTGTCAAGCAGCGGCAGAATACCGGCGAAACACGT